GATATCAGAAAAATCTACTTGAGTACAGTAACCAAGTATTTGTACTTCGTTACTTCCTATCTCTGCTGCTCACCTTTTATTGCTAATCCTGTTAGATTTAACATTTCTTTGTTAGGAATCTTTTTTTAATTATTTATCAATTCATTAAGCTGTAATCTGAGTCCGCCTCCTCTGTTTGAGGTTGTTTTTTCTTTCTTAACATAGAGGGTGTGAAGGAAGCCCTCTATGTTAAGAAAGAGAAAGAAAGAGAAAAGGGGGGGGGGGGGGGGAACTCAGATTACAGCTTTCAAAAACCTATAACGCAGCAATAGCGTTGATCCCTTCCCGCTATTATTGCAACCCCAACCCCCTACAGGGGAACAGGAGATCTCACCTATTCAGCCAGGCCAACAATTCACTTTAATGACCCCTCCTTTCAGAGACATAGACAGGTATGGGGCATCACAGGCTAACAAAGAAACCCAATGACTCAAAGCCTCAAACTCAACGCTATTTCTGACATTTTGGATTAAAAAATCTTCCTGGATGGGAAGAGAAACGTCTTTAAACTTGGAATCAAAGTCCAGTGGATTGTTTTTTTTTTGCTTTTTTGGGACAAACTCAAATTAATTCTATTGGACTATAAACTATGAAAAATTGTCATGTGAAAAAGTATGGGAAACCACATGGATATTGTTAAGCAACACTGTGGAAAATAACAGGAGTATTCATCCTTAATCCTATTGCATAACTGCCAGCCTACGGCAAAGATCTAAAGTATAATCAGTGTAATTCATATTGGCAAGACAAGACATGTTTAATGGTAAATATGTAACAAAGCGATTGAAAACACTGTGCATTAATAACATGCAATGGAAAACCACAGAAACCGATGTTGGAGAGGCTTGGAAGGACAGAAAGAAAAACATAAAACAGTATTAAAGTGAACGAAATTATATATGATATGAAAGAAATATGAGAAGTTAAAGTAGAGAAATTAAAACTACTATTGTAGAAATGACTGTCCGGGTAAAGAAAGTTGGACGACAAACTTAAACTAATAATGTTTAAATAGTACAATGAAAGGCCATTTAAACAAGCAGATTTTTAACCGGGGTTAAAAGTAAGTGAGGGTTTCAGCTCTTTAACAGTTTTATTTGAGTTGATTCCAGATCAGTGGAATATAAGAACTAAAAGCTACTTTCCATGTTTGGTTCTGGTTGTGCAAAGAAGATTTGAGCCAGAAGACCTGATAGGTCTGGCTGACACAGCATGTCTGTAATGTATTTTGGAGCTAAGCCATTTGGGGATTTAAGATTATTAAAAGTATTTTAGTATGTCTATACTCTAAGATACATGGAGCCAACTGAAGCAGGGCATATTGTACACTGTACAATATTTTCAATCATTTTACTGACATCTAAAAAACTGTATGATGAAACCGCAGGGTTGAAAGTCGTAGGGATACTCGTCGTCTCCCACTTTATCTGGAACCGGGTCGCGGGGGCAGCAGACTAAGCAGAGACTCCCAGACTTCCCTCTCCGCAGACACCTCCTCCAGTGCGCCCAAGGCGCTCCTAGGCCAGTCGAGAGACGTAGTCTCTCCAGCGTGTCCTGGGTCGTCCCCTGGGTCTCCCCCTGGTGGGACGTGCCTGGAACACCTCCCGAGGGAGGCGTCCAAGGGGCATCCGAAGAAGATGTTGGAGCCACTTCAATTGACTCCTCTCGATGTGGAGGAGAACCGGCTCACCGATCCGTCTATCGATCTCCCGCTCCATTCTTCCCTCACTCGTGAACAGGACCCCAAGATACTTGAACTCCTCCACTTGAGGCAGG